TAGACAACATCTCGATCTATTCTAAGAATCCAGAAAAATATGAACTTCATGTTCGTCGTGTATTACAAAAATTAAGAGATGCAGGACTCTATGCCAAGATAGAAAAGTGTGTATTCCACACTACTCAAGTCAATTTCTATGCGGATGTCTATCAAAAGGAACAACCACCATTTCTCTTAGGTGATAAGGTATGGCTACTTTGTCACAATATCAAGACCACTCATCCTTGTGAGAAGTTGGACTATCGAAGGTTGGGACCATTTTCTATTTCTATACAAATTAATCCAATTGCATATCGTTTACATCTACCGGAGTCAATGAAAATCCATCTAGTATTCTACATGTCTCTTATTGAACCATACAAGACAATGGACATACGAAAAAGACGACAAGCTCCACCTCTTCCTATAGAAGTGGATAATCATGAAGATTTTAAAGTAGAAGAAGTCTTAGATTCAAGGTGGCACCGAAATAAATTGGAATATCTTGTCCATTGGCACGGATATGATATTAGTGAACGTACATGGGAGCCAATAAAGAATCTTGTAAATGCAACAAAGGCAGTGGAGGCTTTTCATCAACGACATCCATCAAAATCAAGATGAAAATCTTCTTTGTAAAAGTAACAATATCTAGGTAAGATAACATTCTATTTTCAACCCTTCTTTGTAGCTTCTTTGTAGTTGTGATGCTAAGGAGATGGAGAACCAACAACCAACGGATTCAACTCAAGAGCCTTCATTTGCTGACCTGTTGGACTAGACATTATGATTGTCACAACCTTCAAGACAACGCAATTGACATGAAGATCTTTAAGAACGACATGTTCTTCTTTGAATAGATGGTGAGATAAAACGTGTTTGGTATCACGATTTGAGAAGGGACTCTTGATGTTTGGTGATTTTGTTAGAAGTAGGAACAACTCTTGATGGTGTTCTAAATGTTCTATTTGAAGGAAGTTATGAAGGCCTCAACAATGATCAAATAATTGGGTGGTCTTTCCGCTATGGTATAGGACACTACCGATGGTTGAGAGGCCCTATCAATCATCTTCGAAGAGAACAAAGATCAGAGTATGTGGCGAATACAATTTGTCACATCATAGATTTTCTCAACATATGATGACCGCTCCTTGTAGAACTCGTCTCTAGAAGAGGAGGTAATGTCACGGACATACTCATGTAAGCTAATAATTACATATACAAATAGGTGGAAGTAAGTAAAAGTAGATAAAAATAAGTTAATTCTATAGTATTTAATATGGAAGCTTCCTAGAAGCTTATTTGACTTCATAAGTATCTTTAATTGACTTTTTGGATTAAAAACGTGGTCAACAAGTTGGTCATGTGTCACACATGTTGTTAGCTTGAAGATCAAGCTAACTATGTGGCCCACACATAGAAAAACTTGCCTTGTAAGTCAAGGCATGTGTCCTACAAAGTCAACACATATTGGAGGTCCTATATAACGTCGCCACATTGCTCTTAGTTAGATAGTATATATAGACACAAGAGTAAAGCCTTCTTCACTCTTGTCAACTCCTTTCTTGCTTCCAGTCTAGTTTCAAGGGTCTCTAGTTTTCTTTTCTTTTGGTAATAGCCATTCTAGTTTCTCTTTCAATATACATACTTGTTTATTTATATTTTGTTACCTTTCTTTGAGTGAAGGCTTACTTGTCTGAATTGCTTTTTCATCGAGTTCTTATCCTTGACACACTTAAATTTTAGATGCTTGTACTACTCTTGAAATACTAATCTTATTCTTTATGTTTTTTTTATTTTGCAAGAAAATCCACAATATTTTTAATATTTCTCCACTTTATTTTTAATCCTTTATCTTCTTCTTTTTTTTAAAAAAAAACTCCAATTTTTCATATAATTCTTCATCAACAACTTGAAAAAATAATTCAATCTTGTTTGATTCAAATGTTAATTTTTCCACCTTCAATAATCAAAAATACTATTTTTTAAATCCTCTTATTAATTCTATTATTTATAAATTCATATTGAGCTACTTAATCCATTCTAAAAATAATTTCTTAATTACACTATTAGTGTCTTCTAAAAAATATTTATCTTTTAATACATACAAAAAAGCCTTCTATAAATTCTTATAATACTTTATGATTGATGTAACATATTTTTTTTTATCTTTAGTACTATGGCAAGCCTAAATAGCTCAATCAACTTTGTTTCAAAAATCCAATTTAATTCCATTTCTTGTACATAACAACTTAAATACTTTAAAGTATATTCTTCTATGAAATTGATCAATTTTGTTAACCATTGCTTATAATTTTTTGGTTGCCAAAGCTTCTTTTTAATTATTGCTTTGATATTATAGCATAAACAATGTATAATCTCAAAAGATGTGTGTAATAGTTGGATCCATGTATATATCTTGTTCTTGAATCAAAATTTGACTACAAGCTCTACTTGATCATACATATACAATTCCAATTGAAACTCCTTCTGTAGCTCTTTTAAAGTTCTTGCTCTCTTTCTCCATTAAATAAAACTCCAATACCTCCTACCTCAAGCTTTCACATTATGTTCACCACTAATGTCATATAATGTGAATTCTTGCTTAAAAATACACCACACCTATTTGAAGAAGATAAATAGAAAATGAAATAATAAGATTTTACTAACTTTGATAGAATCTTAAATAAATTCTAATTAAATCTTAATAATATAATCAAGTTTTAACCAATTTAAAAGAAATTAAAAAAAAATTACTAAAGAAACATAAAAAAGTCATAAATTAATTTCAAAGAAAAATAATAATAAAATATTTAAAAAATATTTAGATAATTTTATAAATAAATATTAAGAATTTTAAATAAATATTAAAAATAAAAAATTAAATAAAATTTAAATAAGTATTTAATAAAATCCTAATCCAAACCTAATATAGTCTTGAATAAATTCTATTGAAAGTCTAATAAATTCTAAATAAATTCTAAATAAATTCTAAGAAAATTCTAAATAGTTTGTAAATAAATTTTAATGAAATTTTATTCAATCCTAAATAAATCCTAACCAAATATTTATTAAATCCTAACCCCCAAAAAAAAAAAAAAAAAAAAAAAAAAAAAAAAAATCTTAAATAAATCTTAATTAATTTCTATTGCTATTTTAAAATCTTGTTAAATATTAGTTGAATCATTGGTCTCATCTTATATATCACTCATACTTTAATTTATAAATATTTAATGCACATAAAAAAATTGAAGAAAATGAAACTCACCAATTGAACAAAAAAGCTCTCAAATCTCTTAGATGTCCACCAACCTCCCTCTCCAATCTCAATATTGAACTTTTAGTAGTGATTTTTTCTTGCTGAATTAAGCAATTGCTTGATAAATTAGTTGGTAAGGTATATTTTTATGTCCAAATAGTTCTCACTAATTTTTCTTCAATCAAACTACCAAATTTTGTAACATTACAAAAATCCTTACTAATCTTAAATATCAAGTATCTAAGATCTTAATTTGATTAAATTTTCATATTTTTTAATCTAACTATTTAATTGATATTAAAATTTTCATACACATTTAAAACAAGTACAACAACAATCTTAAAAAAATTTATTTTATAAATATGCTATAAAATTTATAAAAAAATTAAATTTATAAAATAAATTTTATTTCTCAAAATCCAAAACTAGTAAGTACATCTATACTTTGAAAAGCCCTCAAGAACTCAATAAACCTTCAAATAGCATGAAGCCAACTTGAAAAAATCTTCTCACAAGTTTGCTGTCAATTTCCATTCTCTAATTAACCAAAGAACCCTAGAATTGTTGTCAATGCGTGGTTTTGTACCTTAGGGTCTAATTTTGACCTTAGTTCATAAATAGTTCTCTCTGTGTATCAATTCCTGATATTTTGAGTTAATTTTTGCTAAATTTTATTCTTAACTTTCTCGTTAAGATGACTATATCAATTAATTATCTCATTTATTTTGATTTGGTTCATATATGATCCTAGTAGAAGTCGCTTCTATAAAAATATAGTATTAAGACTAAAAGTCTTCACTACCTTTCTAATATATTTTTTTTTTGTTTTGCTATTATATCTTTCTATTAGGCTCTTCTAGAATAAAATCTATATATATATATATATATATATTTTTTATCTTTTATCATTTAGTCATATTACCACACAACAACAACAACAATAGTTACTTGGGATGGAGGATGGACAACAAGGATTGAAAACATCAAGAAGATGAGATTGAAATAAAGGTTGAGAATAGGGACAAGGGCTAAGAACAGGCAAAACATGGATAGAGGTTGAGTATTTAGGGAATGGAGGTACAATGATGGTTTAGATAAGTAGATCAATTTAATAAAAACTTCAGTCATTTTAACATTTCCCTCTAAAAATACTAAAAAGAAAAAAACTGCAAGGCACTCACAAACTATTCACCCTCAAAAACACCCTCAAAAACAATACTTCAAATGAGGAATAAATTTAGACACACAACACATGCAATTATAATATGTTGCTCAAGCAAAGAAATAACAAGAAAAAAAAGAATAGGAAAACGAACAAACACCTCTCCTACCAAATAGAACAAATCCAAAGAAGTAAAATAAATAAATAATGCCCAGGCAATGTCCAGTGCCATGGAAAGAAGCGCACCCAAAACAAAAACAAAAACAAAACAAAAAGCAACAATAAAACTTTAAAGTATCAGTGAGAGTTTCGAGGCCGAATGTGTGTGGGGAAGAGTGAGTGTGTGAGTGCCTGCGAGAGGCCATGCTGGTTGCTGTTGTCGTCGCCGCCGCGACTGCCGTGGCTGCAGCTCCGAGCACACAGTGTGTGTCTGAGCTTCGCAGGCCATCCACGCACCGCGACCCCCACCTCGCAGCCGCCACTTGGCCAATCTCCCCTCGCGATGCCATCAGGCGACCAGGCGACGCTACTCGTCGCCCCCACTCTGTTGCGACACACCCCCCCGCGTCTCGGATTGCTATTCTCGCATGCGGTGCCCTTCGCTGACCCAACCCCCGACCCTCCCTTTACATACCATGCCCAGGTCCATTTCCCCAATCCCCGACAAATAGAAGCTTCATTCCTCTCAACGTAATCATTCCGAAATTGGGGTGACACACTACCTGATCGAAGCACAGTTTGGGTATTGCGATTGTGCGTCGGGTAATAAGGTTCGTTTTTTCCTTGTGCTGTTGACGGGTTGCTGAATTGGACACTTGCAGGTGTGGCTGTTGGTTTGTGTTCTAAGGAAGTGTGCATCTTGAGAGAGATGCTGAACGCGTTGTATGCTGTAGTGAGGTTCATGCAATGTGGTTGTGTAGTCGAGTCAGGAGGCGGGCACTGTATGGGTTGTGCAGGACTTGTTACAAATTTAGTGGTCTTTGTTGTGTCGATTTCACCAATTTAGGATTTTACTTTGTCGTCGGAATGTAGATGCTTTGAGTTAGTGTTCCGTATGACCACCTCATTCTTGCGCCCATTCCTCTTGTTTGCAGATCTTTCGTTACACTGTTCACGTGTTGTTGTTGTGCGCCCCAACATAGAGTCTCACTTCGTTTCACCTTTTCACGAATTGCAGACTGCAGTTTATTTCTTGGTGACGAGGCATTGAAGGAGGGAGATTTAAAAGAAAAAAATAGTTTGAAGTTGGTGAAGCAAAGGGATCAAATTGACCAAAGTGCAAGAAATGGCAGACCCTAAGGTTCCAGAGCACCATCTCACACCTCAGGGACGGATTTACGGGAGAGTGACCAGGACCGACGAGAAAACACCCGAGGTTGCTCCCGATTTCAAAGGACATGGCGCCACACCGCAACAGAAAGAAGACGAGAACAAGTCGTGGATATCTGAAGGTCACACAACCGCCGACGTCGATGAGCAGAACAGCAATGAGAAGGGCGAGCCTCAACCTGACGTGTATGCCCAAAGAGTAAACCAAAGTTTAGGTCCTCTGACCTCCGTGAAGGACAAAATAGCGGACACTCTAGAATCAGGAAAGGAGAAAATCTCCGGCTCTGCCCACATGGCCAGTGAAGCGAAAGACTCAACCAAGGTAAATTTCTTCCATGCTCATCTATCCATTTCAGTACACTTCCCTTGTTGCGTGACTCGCTATTTCGCATCAGTCAATCAGCCCTCTAGTACAACGATTGACGATGAACGTTTTCACTGCAGGGAACTTTTTCGCTGTACACTCAAGCGGCGTGGAACAAGATAAATGGGCTGAAACCCACACTGGGTGCAAATGAGCCATCGAAGCAGGCTGGGTCTGCGGTGGACGACACGACGAACGCGGTCAAGGACAGGATAGCAGAGATCACAAGCAAAGGGCAACATGACAACACAATGTCAGGCAAGGCGTCGGAGAAACCTCTGGGACACAACATCCTCGCTGCTGGTGGCGATGATGTTCTGAAGGTCCTTTCGGACGGCGATTCCACTGAGGACGATCCCTTGAAGGCCAACATGAGGGTGACGGCGGAGATGCTCATGTAGAATCACTCACTTTCTTCTTCTTCTGTGAAAACATCCTTGTAAAGCCCATTATGTTCCAAGCTCCCAAATCAACACACAAACTCATGTCACAGAATCAAAACTATCAAACCCACAAACATCCACCTTAACAAAAACTCCCATACTTTCAACACATCACAGATTGCTATCAACTATCATGCACTACAAATCACCAAACCAAACAGCAACATCATAAAAAACTAACACACAATCTTCAAAAAAGAAATTAAACTACTTTAGGTTAAAATTTATCAATAAGTAAGTAGTAAGAACAAAAGCAAAGAATTGCATAATATCTAAGTATGCTCAATCCGGTCTGATCACAGCTGAAGACTCTCCTCCGGAATCACCCACATCAGTTGAATGCCGGAGTGCATAACACAGAAACTAGTGGTGCGATAAGCGTGCGATTTGTACACATCGTCGATGATTCATAGCTACAAGTTCCAAAAACCCGATGGACTCAGGGTTAATTGATGTTTGATATCATTGAAACAATATTATGATATAGGGCAGCCACAAATTGAATATATGTTTCTTATGAACAAAAATACCATAAGAATCATTGTAATTATTTAAAAAATTAGAATAAAACTATCTTATATTGTTATTCAAGTATACTTGATAATATCTTTATTTTACATTTTATATTCAATATTGAATAATCCACATTTTGTAATACTTATCAATGAGTACTTTTTAATTTTATAAATAAAGGTAATTTTTATAATATCCATCATATATGCCAATTTGTTAAAGTGGAAAAGATGGGCATTGATCTTGTTACCTCTTGAATGCAAATTAAGTGTTCTACCATTTGAGCCAAATTCCCCACCAAGGTTAAAAGTTGATGTAAAAATATTTAGTAAATCGATGTGCATAGGACTTTGCACAGTTGTTGTCTTGGTAGAACCTTAATTTGTCATGGGCATGATTTTATGTAAAATGTAAAATCCAAAGACCCTTAAGGTCTAATTTTGACCAAATTACCTAAGTGAATGGAAGGTTCTTTCTTTGAGGGCCCTATTGGGTTTTTTTTTAGTACAATGTCATTGTAATGTTTTGTTCTAATTAGTTAGCTCTCTTGAGTGTGTTATACTTGAGTTAGTGTTTGTACTGTGTGTATCTTTCTCTAGCATTTTTATCCACTCTTGCCTATTATTGTTGAAATTATGTATTAATCGATAAAGATCCTCGTCCTCAATATCTGATCGTGTCATTATGGCATGAATAAAAAGTTGAAGGTTTGGTGTTGTACTTGATTGGTGGTGGTGTTTTATGGTAATAAAACTATATAGTAATATATGGATGTTATTATAGAAGAGCCTAGCAAAAAGGTGTAGAAGAAAAATAAGAATAAATAATAAAAAGATAAGAAAAGATTTAGTCTTAATGTTGTTTTTTTGTAGAAGGGACTTCTATTTACTTTGTAGAGGCATTAATGAACCAAATCAAAGTAAATGAAATAAGAATTTGATATAAGCATGTTTAGGAGAGAGTTAACAATAGGATATAGCACAACTTACCTCAAATTACCAATAATTGATATCTGAAGAAGACTGGTTGTCAACTTGGGTCAAAATTAGACCCTTAGACATAAAATTGTGCCCATACGGCGAATTTGGGGTTCTTTGGTAGATTCAAGAATGGGATTTGAAATAACACTTGAGGAGAGATTTTTGAACATTGGTTTTATGTCAATTGAATCAATATTGAGTTTTTGAGGGATTTTCAAAGTTAAGGATGTTCTCAATTGGTTTAGATTTTGAGAAATAAAAATATGTTTAAAAATTTGAGGATTTCTTGAGTTTTGTGGTGTATATATGGGTGAATTTTGAGCAATGTGTTGATGTATTAGTTTTAAATGTATGCAAATTTTGAGGCCAATCAAATGGTTAGATCAAAATATGTAAAGATTTTTATAGATTGACGTTTCAAAAATTGGAGTTTGAAGGTCAATGAGTGTTTATGAGATCTTTAGCAAATTTGTCAATTGGATTGAAGTGAAATTATTTTGTATGGATACTAGACTTAACTTCCAACGTTTAGGTGAAATTTGAAAGCAATTCAATAGTCCAAGAAGGAGATATTGGTACTGGAAGTTCAACATTCAGGTTGGAGTAGGAGGCTATCCAACACCCGATTGGATTATCTTATATATCTCTCGATTGATAAGCACAATCAATTTCATCTTTCTTGTGCTTGTTTTCAACTACAATATTAAGAAATATGCAAATTTTGAGTTGATATCAATAATTTGATTATTAGTTGTTGAAATTCCATTTTGCTATAGGGTTTGGTTTAGGATTTGTCTATAGTTTGGTAAGGACTTAGGATTTGGTTTAGGATTTGATTAAGATTAGGATTTGCTTGGGATTTGGTTTAGAACTTGACAAGGGATTGATTAGGGTTTTTCTAAGATTTAGGATTTTATTAGGATTTCATTAGGGTTTGACCTAGGATTTGATTAGGATTTAATTAGGATTTCAAATAAGATTTGACTTAAGGATTGATTAAGATTCAATTAAGATTTCTATTTTTAGTATTTCTTTAGGATTCTTTGTTGATTCTTTAAAATTTTCTATTTCTAATACTTCTTCAAGATTATTTTTATTTTTTTAAAGGTTTATTTTTATATTTCTTTACAATTTCTTGTTATTTTTCTTTGAGATTAGTTAAAGACTTCTTTGTATTTTTTTATAACTTCTTTTAAATTTATTTTAGATTGGTTAAAGTTTGATTAGGATTATTAAGGTTTATTTAAAGTTTATTTAAAATTCTATTAGACTTGGTAGGATTATTGTTGCATTTCTACTTACCTTTCACACCTAGATGCTCGATGCATTCGAATCTTTCACACCTAGATGCTCGATGCATTAGAATCTTTCACACCTAGATGCATTAGAATGGAGTATTATGACAATGAATGGAGTATTATGACATTACGAATGGCATATTACTTATTATGTATTACTACAGCGAATGGCGTATTTTTGATAGAGACGAGTTTTCTAATGCCTGATGCTTTGATCGATATGTCTGCTTACACTTTCGTGTTCAATTTCCGCAAAGAGTTGTTGTATGCCTTGTTGTACTGCCGTGTCGCTGAGTGGAGGACTATCTTCTTGCTCTTACTCGGGAGCTATTCTTTGGGAGGTCGACGGTTGTGTCACTGGGGCGGTTGTCAGTCGAGAAGGTCGAGATCGAGGTTGATCTGCTCCCAAGTATTGTGCTAAAGTTTTTGGGAGGAGTTGGGGAGGGGAGATTAGATGCCAGGTAGGTTCTTTACTTCTTGTTGTGGCGAAAATATTATTGGCTGTCCATATCTTGGTGAAGGCTCTATTTTTTGAATGTTGCAGCTCAGGTGTTCGATGATGTCGCTGTAGGTTGCGCCAAGCCTCCATCTTTATGTAGATAGTTATTTTCCAGGCCTTGTATAGGACGAGATCCGTGTGGTAAGGTGCTTGTTCTCGATTAAACAAGCATTTGTTACACCAGATGTTCAATAGAATAAGAGTACGCAATAGCATCTAGGAGGTGTTTGGTATAACATTGATGGCGTTTGTTGGATCGACGATGTTGTTGTGTGCGAGGTTGGTTGAGCCATGTAATATTTCTTGCCAACTTGTGAGTGGGTTGAGACAGGTCATCACCCGAAGTATGTTGTATCTGTCCCAAGCTGTGCTGATGTGTGGACAATCCCAGAATGCATGGAAGATGGTTTTGATTGTTGTGTTGTTGCAAAGGATGCATCAACCATCTCATTTCATGACTTTTTGCCATGCGCCTACCGATATGCCCCCAGCGTATACTAGCTACTTCATTGCCGCAACTTTCTTGGGGAGCCATGGATGCCATGATTGTTTGTAAAATTATTGACATTCCTGGTTTTCGTAGTTTTTGGATTTAGAAGCCGCTTCTCTTTTCGGTGCTGCAGCGATGACTTTGCTCTGTTGCCGATAGCAGCGCTTGGATGTGTAATTATAGAATAGTGTGTGGGATAGGTCTCCTTGCCATTTTCAAATCCATTCTGCCGGATCGAGTGTAAGTTGTTGAATTGGTTTATCCGCGGCAAGCTAGAGTATAATAGAGGGGTCGGGTTATTCTCTAGGGTTGAATTCTATGAAATCTTCTTTTGTAGGCTATAACTCTCACATGTTGGACTTCGTTGTGACCAATGTGTAGAGGCTTGAAAGAAACGAGGGTTAAGTCCGAGATTATGTATTTATCTCCTCGTAAAGTGCCTTCAGCAATATTCAGGGTATAGAATATCTTGACTATGGTTCCCTGTGTATCAATTGCCCACCACTCTATGGCTATGTAAGGTTGTCTGTTTCCCGAGTGCCATGGAATGTTTGTGAGCATTGTGGTTTTCTAAACTTTAATTAAGCGGCTTTCTGTGCGGTGTTGCAGGGTTGACTCGATATGCCAATCCTCTGAAGTGGCGTTCTAAAGGTCCCCGCAAGTCCGCACTCCCTTTCTCGTTCATAGATTGAACTTGTCCTGGAGGTTTTGGCCCCATATCGTTCCGTTTGAGTCTCTTATCAGTGTGTTGTTGAAGAGAGGCTGGCACATCAGTTTGTCTAGAAATTGTGGTGGTTGTTGTTGCAGACCAGGTTGAATTTCTTGACATACTGACCTCACATTGAGCCACAACGGTGAGCCTTGGGGTTTGAGTTTTATTTTGTTTCCCGTAATCTAGTGCGGGCTATGGTACCAATCTCCTCCCTTGCTGTATTGGATTTCTGTTATCCAGTGCCCAAGTAGGATTTTTTATGGTTCTACTCCGGGTGCCATGCCACAGGTGATCAGCTTTGCGATGAGGGCTCTGGCTTGGAGTTCAAGTTCTAGGACCTTTAGACCTCCGTGAGTTAGTATTTGGATGATGGTATTCTATTGTACCTTGGCTCTTGTGGTTCATGTGGTGATCCCGGACAATAGGTAGTTCCTTACCAAAGATCACATTTGTTTGAAGATTTTATTTTCTACATTGGCGCATGAAACTAGGAACCATATTGAATCCAGGACCACTTAGTTGAGGATCATTATCTCGCCTGCTAAAGATAATTGTTTGGGCCCCCATTTGATAAGTTGTCTTATGATTTGCTGTAGGATTTTGGCTCCGTTCTCTTTTGGAGGCATGTGGAATCCGATTGGAAAGCCTAGGTAGCGCACTGGGATTCCTGTTCGTACCTATGTTAGACCATGCACATTTCTCCAATTAAAGGTTCGTGTTTTTTGGGAGACCCAGATTGTCGGAGTTTTATGCCAGTTAATCTTAGCTCTGAAGGCTTCATAGTACGTGTCTAACACTCTCAGTGTTTGTTGCATGTTGTTTGGTTCTCTTTTGAGGAATAGTGAGGTGTCGTCGGCAAACATAGAGTTAGTGTGACTGGTTTGGTTGGATAGGATGAGCCCTTCTATGTTGTGCTTGGGATCGTCTAGCACATATTCTAGTAAGGTGGCAGCAAATAGAAATAGGTAGGGTGCCAAGAGGCACCTCTGGCGAATTGACCTCTCTAGCTTGAAGGATTGTCCTTGCTCTCCGTTGATGGTTATTACTGCCTCAGCTTCATTGTTGAGAGCCATTGTCCACGTGATCCATTCGTTGGAGAAACCTAATTGTGTCATCGCATCTTGCGAAAAAATCCAACCGATGCGATCATTTGCT